GTTACTTCACCTTTTTGGGACTGCTTCCTCACCTGAACATGTGGATAATACCACTACTTTGCAAAGTCAATTTCAAAATTAGGTATCAAATGCATAAAAGTGACCAAGTCACTCAATAATACTAGCTTCTTTTGCCTGTATGAACAAAATAAAGATGGGAATCAGGTAAAGGTCATTATCTTTTTTTTTTTGTCATTATCTTGTCACTACCTTGACACCAGTAAAAGAAACTCTTTCCTTTGCAAGGAACCTTTTCCTTTACTCTCCCAAGATGGCACTAAAACAGTTAGATATTGAAGTAATCCCTAGCACAAAGGCCTAGTGCAGATTATCCCTGTTCTGCTGTTCAGAGATATACAGTGGCATCCTGCAATTGCTGCTAGCCACACAGCAGTCATGCCACTGTTGTCACGGTCTGCCTCTGCGTGAATTTGGTCATAGCTGTTAATATTATCACCGCTTTAATTTAATTATTTGTGTTGTTGGTTCTGCCTGAGTTGTGTTTAATTGCCGTTTAAAATGTCTTCAGAATTGCATTATGATTCCACACTGAAATGTAAAGTCAGTGTGAATGCTGAAAAGCACCAAGCAGAGAGCTGGATACACGTTTGTTTTTAGTAAAGCAAGTGTATTTGCATTCATGTTCTCTAAAAAAGCAACAAACAACTTCTTTCTAAAACCCAAAAGAGGAAGATAGGTTCTGGTAGATGAATTTTTGTTGTTTTGTTACTGATTTACCATTAGAAAAGTCTGGATACTGATGATCTGAATCAGAGAATTATTCTAATGAGTCAGACTCTTAATGTGAAGTTTTTAGGAATAGCATATCCAAATTATTTTTCCATATTTTCCTTTTAATGTATACCAGAGAGAGAGAAAACATTTATAAAATTTGTCTTTCTGAGAAGTCAGAAAGAAACAAAACATGATTTCCTTCATGGTATATTAAAATAAAGAAGAAAGGTGCCCTTTGCAAGAAAATGACATGTTACTCCGCTGAACTCAGGGACTGCAGAGGTGATGAGAGTTGGCCGATGGGTTAGAAACCTGCAAATAGAAATGAAACATGTTGTGCATCTCTCCTTTCTCATGGAGCTTTGAGCATCCTCATCAACAGTTTGTCAGGAATCCTTCACAACCAAGTCTGGAACAGGAAGCCATAATCTGAGAGAGAGGACAGTAGATCTAACGGTGCTACCCTTGCCAGGGGCTTGAAGAGAACCCATTGGAACTTGACAGCCAGCTGACCAAGTGCTACAGGGGGCTTCCTGTGCAGCACCTCACAAGTTTACTGCAGTCTCTGCCACAGCTGTAAAAGCTCTGAACTGGCCAGGCACTGCCCTTGTGGAAAACACTTGTCCCCAGAGTACAACAAAAGATAATACATATTTTAAAACCCAAAACCCAATGGAAACAAAAACAAAAACTGTCCTGTCCATTGACTTAATCATTCAGTGTCTGGGAATTTATGCATGAAATCATTTGTCGTCGTTACAGTGGTACTTAGTGAAAAGTTGGGAGAGACTTATTGTCAGAATAGAGTTCAGTAAATTGCAGCACATTGAAACTTGCTGCAGTATTGTGCAGTCTTTAAAATAATAATCACAAAGGAGATAGAGGAAAATGGAAAATGTTGATGAGAGACAATGAGAAAACAATAAAAATGTATATAATGTATTTCAAATGTACAGAATTGTTCCTTAATATGAGCTCATATTAGAAAAGAATAATGCAGAAATAAAAGCAGTTGTGTTAAGGTGATATAATCGTAAGTACATTTTTCCCCAAAAATTTCTTGTTATAATAAAAAGGCAAATAAAACAGGAAAGGTTTCCATGAAAAAGAATCAGTAGCTACAGTAATTATGGGGGTATATTAAGCATGTAAATTGTTTTCAGAACATACCTAGAATTACCCAGTCACATACTTGCCACACTGAGATGTTAAGGAGGCTCTTGGTTTCTTTTTCTTCCCTCTCCCTCCCCCCACTTAGAATTTGTAATTATGTATTTTCAGAACAAAAATGCTTTCAATTCTGGGAACTTTTAGAGGCTTTGTAAGCAAATGATGATAATATAAAAGGTATTTGTCCAAATTTGCATTCATACAAAACATGGAGCTGCTATGATTTTAGAATAAATGTGTTTTAAATATTTTCTAAATACAGAGAGCTGTTGCAATCTTAACAATACTTGGCTAAGAAACTACATTTCCGTGATAGGCCATAATTACTCTTTGAAAAATTATTTGGCTTAAAAAACTACCTACCTAAAGATGCCCAAAGAGTAAGTTCCACTTTGTCCCTTCTTATATTGGCAGTGAATGCTGTAAGGCTCCACTTTTTTTTTCTTCTTCGGGGTATTGTTGATTTTTATTGCAGGACAAAAGGGCATGGCATTAAACCTGCATATTTAAATTCTAGAAAATATTTCTTTTTCATATAGGAGCCTATGGTTGAGTTTACAAAGGACTTTGACCATGGGTATTATTTTTACCTTTTTCTCATAGTTGTTTGAATGTCTTTTTCCATAGGTCAGCTTATTTATTGAAATTTCAGGTCTAACTTCTAATTAAAACTGATGGCCACTAGTCAATTGCATGACTAAATGTAAAAGCTTGAAAAGTTGATGCAATTAGTCAAATATTACCAATCTAAGCTCTTCTCCCTCCACTGTGTTAGGCTGTGCTCCTGGACACATTAATAAGTGGCCATTTTTTTCTGGAATTCTGTGCTCTTACTGCTTCCTTTCATTACATTAGGCAAGGTTCCACTAGATGAGACATTTGCAGTCTTAAGACTTCCTGCCGGGGTTCAGACTTTGTATTTTTGACATTGAAGCTGTCGTGTCCCTGAAGCTACTTAATTAGAAACACATTCATTCCAGTGTACATTGGAAAAAGCTCGGACCGCAGAGCCAGGCACACTTGGAAGTTGGAGCATTTGTGTAGCTGGCAGCCAAACTAATGGTTTACAGTTTAAGGGGAAAAAATACCACAGGGCATTTCCTACTCCTCAGCCCCCACCCCAGAAGCAAAGAGAAGCTGAACATGACCAGCACATACCTTAAAAAAGAGAAAGAAGAAAACAGAAGAAAAGAAAGAACAATGCCACTTTCACTGCAGTTACATGTATAGCTCTTTCTTTGGCTGTTATCAAATACCAAAAATGCAAGTCTTTTAGAATAGTTCCCAAAATGTGCTGCTAATAGTGAATCTATTTTACAGGCTCCTGAAATATATAACTGCTGAGATCTGTAGAAAGGAGGACATTTTATATTCTGGGAAAAGATTTTGTTTGACGAATTTTATTTATTGAATAGTAATGAGGAAATTGTGCCCTTTCTTATTTTTAAATGTTTGAGCAATTGTAACATGTACATCTGACGCTTCAAACCTTCTTTGTCTGGCCGCTGCCTTCTTTGGTACTGTATTGCCTTGCAAACAAACTTCTTCCGCATTACTCAGTCCTCGTTTCCCTGACCTAGTTCCCAAAGAGTCATCCTTGTCTCTTTTTGGACAACCACCTGGGCCAGAGGAAAAGTATCTGGTCACCCCAGTCTGAGTTTGTGTCTTTCCTAAGCTTATAAAAGGACCCTCTGCATTTTGCAGAGACAAAAGAAAAAGTTGCCGGTCATTTCCATGTTTTTCTACTTTATTACCCTCTCCCACCCCCAGGAAAGACATAGTATGGCAGGAGGGCTTTAGGATTATAAATTTCATGTCACAGTATCAGCATGACACTAAGGAAGAAATGCTTACACTGTGGAGGGAAAGCCCAGGTTTACCATTTACTTGGTTTTATGCCTTTAGATAAATAACTTAAGCTCGCTCTCTAGTCTGTTTCCTTCTCTGCAAAACAGAAGTCATACCTACCTTGAAAGATTGTCAAAAAAAAAAAAAAAAAAAGAAAGAAAGAAAGAAAGAAAGAAAGAAAGAAAGAAAGGTGAGCAAAGTTAATTTAAAGGTGTTCCTGTAACCACTAGCACATTTATCATTGGTTAGTAGGATCACAAGTGGTCATAAAAATAAAGAAGCATTGGTCAACCCAAAGTGCCCAGGTTTTTTGGGGTTGTTTTTTTTTTGTTGTTGTTGTTGTTTTTTGTGGAACCGGTGATTGAACTCAAGCCCTTGCGCTTGCCAGGGAAGCACTTATTCCGCTGAGCCATCTCCCCGGCCCCCCAGTAAATGGCTTCTTTAGCTTTCTTTTTTTGGTGGAACTGGGGATTGAACTCAGCCCCTTGGGCTTGCCAGGGAAGCACTTATTCCACTGAGCCATCTTTCTGGCCCCAAGTGCCCAGGTTTTAAACCTGCTGGAGATGCGGTCTCATTCTCTTGGTTAGTCACTGATTTGGGGAACCTGTTGATCTGTGAATGAAGTTAGCAGAGGCTTTATGAAATGTGTCATCGCATGGCATGTGTGCCACTGGGGTGAAGAAGCTTGCTGGCAGCTCTCCAAATACCTAGTTTAATTAGAATGAATAGTTAGGTCCTGTCTCTTGATGGCAGAAAGAAACATGAAATTAAAAAAAGTAATCATTCTTCCTTGAACCCCACTGTACCCTCTGTGTGACCTTGACTTTATTTTCCATTACCATTGTGCCAATCGTAGTTCCCATTTTTATTGGAAACTCCGCTAGTCACTTGTAGTGTATATATTTCCTCTCATTCTAATAATAATGTTTCAGGTCAAGTCCAATCTCCCATTTTAAAGATAAGTGACTGAGGCTGGGCAGTTTGCATTGCTGCTCTTTAGGGACTAGTGCCAAGGTGGATGGTCTTCTCACTAGCCATACTGTTTGCAGTGCTACCGCATTTTTAAATTCTTCAGAAGTTTCTAGGCTTGGGAACAAAATGTCATATTAGGATTTTTGTTGTGAAAGGAAATGTAACTGTGCATACGTTTATTAAAACAGTTTTTCTCCAAATAGTGAACCATCTGTAATTTTCTGTCAAAAGCAACAGACATTAAAGCAGCTGTGTGTCTCTGTTTCTTTTCACAGTGCTCCCATGCCCTACCTCATAGGAATCCATTTAAGTTTAATGGAGGTAAGTTGGCTTCTTTCCTCCCCAATCCCTCGACTTTTGTTTTGCTTTGTGCAGTGGGAAGACAGCGTCAGGAGGTGCAGCTCTGCCTGTGGGAGGAGTGGGTTAAGACACATGCTCGTGTGTGTTCCCACTCAGGTGTGCAGAGCTGAACCTTCTGCTTAGGTCCTTTCCGCTGGCTCTTAATTTCCGGGCTTTTCTGCTTTCCTGAGAAATTGTGGATTTTCGTGGGTGAGGGAGTGAGGGTCAGGAACGCAGGAGGAAATTATTCTACGAGGGTTTGAATGAGTGAAGAGAAGTGGCTCACTTTTCATCGTGGTATTTATTCTAAATCACTCTAATGGTATTACACTGCTTTCATTGCAAGAAATGTGACATAAATACATGTCACATAAATGTGGTATAGTATGTAGCAGTAAGAAGAATATTAAAATCATCCACAGTACCATTATTCCATATTGAACCACTGTTAGCATTTTACTGTTCTTTCCAGCCTTTATTCTGTAGATATGCATTTTATATAAATGTGCACAATTGATACATAGTAAATACATATAATTTGTCTTTATTTCACTTAACATAATGGAATGAGAATTTCTATGTTTTTTATCTACTCTTAATAATAATTTTCAGTATATTACCTATCATTCTCATTATTCGGATGTACCATAACTTAAGCATTTTCCTACTGCTGGACATTTAAATTGTTTATCATTTTTTCACTATTATAAATAGCATTTCAGTGAACATCTTTATGCATAAGGCTTTATCTGCATTTTGACTTATTTCCTGAGCATAGAATCCCTAAAGTAGAAATGCTTGGTCAAAGCTATGAATTTGATGCCAGATTGCCTTCTGTATGGCTGTACCAATTAGATAGTTCTTTTAAAGGACTTTTTTTCTGTGCCTTTGTAAGTGCCATTAGTCTGTAGCCATGAACCTCAGGCCTCTGCTTCCTCAGGAGAGAGCAGACTTTGTACTAGAGCAGAATGGGGGTGGGATGGGGTGCCTTGCCTCTGTGGCACAGGAGATACTCTCACGAGGGACTCTACAACCATGTCCGTCTGTGACGGTACTTTGCATGTCTTAAAGGAAGTGCTACTTCTCTTCTTCTGTTCCCTTCATTTCACGTCGACGAGGACCACCTGCTTCGCCACTAACTGTTGCATGCTGTGCTATTGTGCTTACGAAAATGAAACAAGTTGGTTATCGAAAAACCTGTTTGTTTGACATTGAGAATCTTGATCAAAATAGACCACAGAAATCTGCTCAAATTTCTAATTTGACAGGACGGCCATGTGGCTCCTACATTCTGTTAACAGTCCCTCCCTGTCATCACCCAGCCCTAAGCACATACAGTACACAGTTTATGGACTATCTTAGATGATGTATTTAGATCAGATTAAAGAGATTTCGTCTCTGTTTTACCTTTGTTTGTCAAATTTGGGAGGGTTTACTCAAAGCTTCCATAAGAAAAATTAAAAATGAGTATTTTCTAATAGGCCTGTTATGCCAATTTCTATAGAGGTTGAAATGCTAATCTAAAGATGACTTGGTCTATCAGAGCCTGTAATTCCCTTCTACCTTCCTCCTGCCTTCCAACTACTCCAGCACAGGCTTTTTTAGGCCTTTCTGGGTACCTTTGAGGTTCTCCAAATGCCCAGCCTTAGCTGCTTTTCTTCTGTACATGTCCTCACTCACCTTGTTTAAGGGTTTTTGCTTCGGCTACCAAGTTAAAATCAACAGCTCTCAGCTCTGATTCTAACACTGCTCTGCCTCTGAACATGAACTCCAAAGTTTCAAGTATGAATTGTGGTCTCCTAGATGTCTCCCCCAGTCTTCCCCAGCAAGTTCTTATTTGCATTTGCCTGTGCACACACATCATCCACACACACATACAGAGACACACACACAGATATTCTGCTCCTTTTCCAGTGTTCCCAGTCCTGGGAGTGACACGACTGTGTACAGAGATGCCAAAGTGGGACACAGTGCACAGGGATAAATGTTGCTCTTCCTTGTTTGTTCTTTCTTGATACAAAATCTCTGAAATGCCTTTTGCCTCACTCCTTCCTCTGTTCCTTCATTGGCACTTGCTATTTGCTTTCATAGTTTCTTGCAAAGCCACATTCATTCATTTGATAAGCAAAACGAAGGCCTCTTATGTTCCAGGCATTGTGCTAGGTCCTAGAGGTGTAAAAGTGAATTTAAAAATCATTCCAGGGGCTGGGGAGATGGCTCAGTGGCATAAGTGCTTCCCTGGCAAGCGCAAAGGCCTGAGTTCAATCCCTGGTTCTGCCAAAAAAAATTAAAAATAAATAAAATTCATTCCATAGTTCCGGTATGGATTGAGTTCTGTCTCACCTGTTCACCACTTCAGGTATCCCACTGTCTTCCACTTTGCCTCTGCACGGCCCTGCATTCTGCATGGGTTTTCCGCTGCTGTCAACCTTTTTCTGATCACTGCAAAGCACTTATTAGCTGGTACTCTAGCTGATCCCTGAGCAGATCCACATTCCCACACTTTTGTGTGGGGAAGCCTTGCCTTTCTAAAGTTCTTCCATGAAGTCTTCCATCTTATCTTTTTCACATGTTGAGCCTCTTGCTTTGAATGATAGCTCTTTTCTCCCTTCTCCCTGTTATTCCTCAGAGCATGATTCTCTGAGGAAAAGACCTGTGCATCATTCACTGTGGTGACCTCAGCCCCTTTAGTAGGATGCCAAGCAGGTGGTACTGTCTGAGTACTTAGGGACTAAATTAGGCAATTGACATCACTATTTGCAGGCAATCCAGTGACATGATTTTATGTAAAAACAAGGAAGGTTAATATTTTACTATGTATATGATTGTAAGTAACTTAAAATAAGGCCCTTTATAGTACAACATGCAGTGTAACGTATGTATGCATACATTTGAAGTTATGCCTTGAAGCAGAGTTTTGCACATCGGTGAAGTGAGTGTGAATCTGTTCTGTCCAGCCTTTGCAGGCTTTAAATGAGAAGATTTGGCAAGTACTAACCAGAGTCGTTACTGGCCTTGTTGACTGACCGTGGTTAAAGAGGAGTTTGCTCTGTGAGACTCCTTTGTGGTCAGCCCTAAGGAAAAACAAATAAGGTAGACACCCTGCCCTTGAAGCCAGTGTTTGCTGGGTGCGTGGGGCAGCCATGAACTACCAAATGTTGGAATTCTTGATCTCTTTCCTGGGCTTCACCTGGGATTTGGAGGTCCTGCCTTATGCTTGCCAATGGTATTATTTGGCTCTGTCATGCTAGAGATACTTCCCCAGGGGCTTGAATGCTTTGGGAAGAGGGCAGACCTGTAGCCAAAGGAGATCTCTTTAAGGAAGGAATGTGGGGAGGCCCATCTTCTCTCACTACACTAGTTTCTTACTGGCAATTCAGCAAAAGGCTTATTTTTGACTGTCTTGTTATTTTTTCTTGAAAGCTATAGGCACCTTATTATGCCTTTGCATATGTGCCAGAATTTTTTAAACTTCAAATGAATGTGGCAGATGTTCATAAAAGTTTAGAAAAAGCTACCATAGGAAGACTTTTTAACCATTTTTATGACACTCAAATTTGTTGCACAAAAAGAAATATAAATTATAACCTAGTATTCTCATTTGAAAAAAGGTTATTTTGGGCTAAGACCTAATTCTAGTCTTCAAGCTTGAACAGAATGTTGTTACTGTTTGTTAAGTGGTAACCTTGTTACCATAAATAGTCCATTTTCCTTGTTAAGTGACAAGTCTATAGCTGATCATCATTCTACTCTCTCCTTCTGCCTTTTGATATTCTTCCTCTCATTTAAGCAATTCGAGGCTAGTGGCAAGTTAGCAGAATAGCCAACGGTATTGGCATAGACCTAGCTTCTTCTTGGAGAGAATGATCATGTTAGTTGGCAGCTAGGAAATCCCAAAACATGGCCAGATTACACAGTGACTATTTCCTTTCATTCAACTAATCTCAATTTAGTACAAGCGACATTTATGCAGTCCCTCTTCTGTGCCATAGCTGGTAGCCGGTGCCAGATCTTGTCTGGTAGATGATGCTTCTCTATTTGATAAATGATGACCTTCCTTTCAAGCTTCACAAATAGTGCTTTGTGTACACACTTCAGAGTGACATGAGAGAAGTATTGCGATGGCATTTTATTATTGGTCCTGGTGGTAGGATGGCCAGTAAGGAGGAAAGTAAGGCAAAAACAGTGACATAGTTCTGAAGAGACATTCAGGGTAGTTTGTAAATGAAGCTTCACATGTATCCAGAGGCAGTGAAGTATGGTATCTAGAACATGGACCCTGGATTCTGGCTCTACTATTTCCATTTGTATGCTCTCAGGGATGGTAACCGTTTCCTATACCTCTGTTTTCTCACCTGTAAGCTAAGAGTACTGGACCAATTGTCTGTGGGGTCTTTGGGAGGATCTGGTGACAAGCAGGCTTGTTAGATGTCTAACATAGTGCTCATGATGAGTTGCACAGAATCAACTGTCATTGTTGTTTCTGTTTCTTCAGTGCCTTTAAACCATTTACATTGCTAAACAAATGGTTTTGAAATGATGCTTTAGAAACTCTGAGGCTCCAAGGGCCAACATCTTCATTCCCTAGGGAAAGAGAGTTTTAGTACAGTTGTTTTACACCTGCCCTGTTTTGTCCTGGTTTGCATTGCAGGAGGCACTATAACAGGGCTGGAAATGACATTTCTGTAAGACTTCATAATTGCACTTCCAAGCCTCCACCTGACCATTTCCTTTTGTTAACCTTAGTCATGATGCCTTACCTCTCTGGATTGTACTCTCTTCCTCCACAATAGCTGAGTCTTAGATCCAGCATTTCCTAGTACCTGGCATGTGGTAAGGCTACAGTATGCAGTCCTTCCCATAGCAGTGTGTTGAGAGTCTTGTGTCCAGACACTACGTTATACCAGGAATTCTGTATAAAATGGTGACGACAAATATTACCTACATTCTCTGAGTTTTGTCTGGAGCAAATACACATAAGT